CGCACCTCTGGTCAGTTTTTAATTGTTTTTAATCAAATATTCTTCTAGGTTGTATATTCCCTGGTGGGTTCACTTGCTGTATGGAGGTAACTTGTGGTTGCCTTGAAGCTGAACACTGTGACATTGATGTGTCAAATGTGATAATGGTTACCCATGGTGAACAGTGTTTGGTAGAGCTCCCAATTAAAACAAGCTTGGAAGCCAGAGTGGCGACCACTTTTGAAATAGCTTGCCTCCGGAAACCCTATACACCTTGAGAAAAAAGGAAAGTTATGCAAGTGTCCAGGTCTCTCATTCATAGGGTCGCTATGAGTTGCCTACGACTCAACGGCACTTAACAACAACAACAACAACAACAACAATGCATAATTGTCTCCAGGCATTTCAGACAAATGAGACTCTGCAATAATGATTTACTAGGTGATTTTAAAAGTAGCTTGTTCCTCTTGTGGTGGTAGTGAAGGTAGAAAACAAAATGTCTGTGAAAATAGGCATACTAAAACTTGGGAAAAAAATTCAGTAGTCCATTAGATTCTTCCCCACCCCAAAAAAATAACGGACATTTGGGGTTATAATGGTATAAATAAAGACTGCAATTGTAAATGTGGTCTTTGAAAAGTCATGATTAAGCTAGGTAAAATTGAATGGTTAATTCACATGCAAAAGGAAAGTGATATGTTTATCTCTGAAGGCTGGGGTTTTGTTCTGATAAAGAAAATTCTCAAAAGATGTTGCTTTAAAGTTTCCAAAATCATCTTTGCCTGTTGCCATGAATTTTGTCATACCCTAAAAATATGTCAACTTGGCTTGATCATTTTTATTGATGGTTTGGCAGTTACTCAATGAGTGGGAGAAGGCAGAGCTAAAACTCAGGTCCAAGCAGCCTTTGCCCACTGCCTAGATGTGGTGTCAGAGGAGAGAAGATCATTATCATTTTCAGATTTTGAGAGTTCTGCTGTGTAGTTTTGGGTTTGGGTTTTTGTGGGGTTTGTTACTATTTGTTGTTTATTTCTGTTGGGTGTGTTGTTTTTTTTTCACTTGCTTCATTAGTAAGCATTACCCCTTCTTTCCCTTCAATTTCTCAAACATAAAATAAAGCTGTCTACCTTGTCTATTTGTGCTTCTTTGACTATACAAAGGCTTTTGACTGTATGGATCACAACAAGCTATGGCTCACTCTGAGAAGAATGGGAATCCCAGAACATTTGATTGTGCTAATGTGAGACCTATACTTGGACCAAGAGACAGTCGACAGAACAGAGCAAGGAGACACTGCTGTTGTTTGATGCTGTCGAGTCGTAGACGAGTCATAGCGACCCTATGAACGAACGGCCTGAGCACTGTTTGTACATAGAGTTTCCGGAGGCAAGCCATTTCAGAAGTGGATGCTGCTCCTGCTTCCAGGCTTGATTTAGTCGGGAAGCTCCAGCCAGCACTGTCCACCATGGGTACCCATTACCACGACTGGCACATCACTGTCACAGTCTTCAGCATCACAGCAACCGCGAGTTACCTCTGTACAGCAATGCACAGACCAGTGCTATACCACCTAGAAGAATGTTTGCCAGGAAAACAATTTGAATCGGGCCGAGGGCCACAAATGAAAATCACTCACCTTCAGCTTGGTAGCATAGCTTCCTTTCCACTAGACCAACATAGCTCTCTCTTTGTCGTCGTCATTGTTATTGTTGTTTGATGCTGTCTACTCATAGACGACTCATTGTGACCCTATGAACAAACGGCCTGAGCACTGTTCGTACATAGAGCTACTACATGGTTCAAAATCAAGAAGGGGTCCGTCAGAGATGTATTTTGTCTCCATACCTTTTCAATCTGTATGATCATCCGAGACGCTGGGCTGTACAAGGAGGAATGTGGCATGAGGATTGGTGGAAGAATCAACAACCTGTGTTATGCGGATGACACAACCCTGCTTGCTGAAACTGAGGAGGATCTGAAGCGCTTGCTGCAGAAGGTCAAGGACTGCAGCCTCCTGTATGGATTGAAGCTCAACATCAAGAAAACAAAGATTCTCACCACTGGGCCAATTGGCAGCATCAGTATGGTTGGTGAAGAGATTGAGATAGTTAACAATTTTCATTTACTTGTTCCACAGTCAACACTCTTGGTAACAGCAGCCAGGAAATCAGGAGATGAATTGCATTGGCAAAGTCAGCTATGAGGGACCTCTCAAGAGTACTGAAGAGCAACAATATCAGGCTGGAAACTAAGGTTCGCCTGATCCAGGCTATAGTCTTTGTAATTACATGCTATGCATCAGTGAGTTGGACAGTGAATAGGGATGATAGAAAGAGAATTGATGCCTTTGAGCTGTGGTGCTGGAGAAGAGTGTTGAATATACCATGGACTGCTAGAACAAACAGGTTTGTCCTGGAGAGGATGAAGCCGGAATGCTCCTTGGAGTCAAGGATTCTGAAGCTTCATCTGACATACTTTAGGCATGTTGCAAGGAGGGACTGGTCCTTGGAGAGGGACATCATGTTTGGGAGAGTGGAGGGATGGCACAGGAGAGGAAGACCCTCGATGTGATGGATCGATTCTGTGAGTGGAGTGGTGGGAATGAGTGTGTTTGAGATGGCGAGGTTGGCACAGGATAGTACGGCGTTTAGGGCTCTTGTACAAAAGGTCGTTATGAGTCGCAAGTGACTCGATGGCACATAACAACCACCACCTTATCTTGTCCAGCCGTTGAATTTTAGAAGCAGATAGATTGTATTCTAGATTCACAGATGAGGAAGAATTGTGCCCCAGGATGGAATTTAGACTTATAGAATTATATGATGAGGTGAAAGCGTTTTGTGTGGGGCAAGTACATAAACTAGAGGAGAAGGCTAGGTGGGGAATCTCATGGATTGCACTGTATTTCTCCAAAATACATGTCAGCTTGGCTGGGCCAAGATTCTCAGTGGTTTGGCGTTAATGTAATGATATAATGTGGCTATTATATAATGATGTAATCGTCCTCCATAGTGTGATCTGATGTGATCAGCCAGTTGGTTATACAGTGGTAAGTGGGAAGCAATACCTTTACTAAATGACTCAATACTTACTCAATACCCTTACTCTTGCTTGAGCCAATGTGAGGCAGTTTTTTGAAGCATGACCTATACCATCTTTTATCCTACAAGTGATGAGACAGAAGTAAGCAAAGAAGAAACATAACTCTCACCAAGAAAGTAGAGGCATGTACATAGCACATCCTTTGATTTAGAGCTCCTGCACTGAGAACCCCCTACAACCATGCTAATACTAATGTCAAGATATAGGCCTTAACAGAATGCCATGCCCACAGGTATGAAGACAGCCACCTTTCTCCAAGGCTGACGGAGAGAAACCCTTCTCCTGCAGTTAATACTTTGAATTTCTCTGACCATTTAAACTGTCAGAGAAAAAGATTTGTTTGTTTCTAAGTCATTCACTTGTGATATTTCAGATTCAACAACACTAGGCAGCAAAAACATCTGTTATCTGAAAGACAGTATGTTTTATATGTATATTTTATGGGGTATTTTTATGGCATTTATATATTTTAATGTCTCAAATTTTTTGGTCTCACTCTCTAATCTCATTTTCCTTGTGGACTGAGACCCTTCAATATGATCTGCTCTATTATAACTTATTTTATACAGATCAGGATTTTCTTAATGTGATGGAAAATTTCAATGAAAACATCAATCAAATGAGCTCCCCTTAGAGCTAACATGGTAGAGGTAATCTTAGTAGTCTAATAGCCAAGTAGGAAACTAAGATTTTAAGGCCATACAGTGTTGAGAAAATTTTCATTCTTGGAATTCAGACGTCTGGAATCTCTGGAGTTGGAATAACCCCTCCAGGCCATTGTCTTGAGATCTTTTGAAATCTTAGCTTTGAGAAAGCAGATATCCTAAAGTCACCTTTGCCTCAAACAATAATCTAGTACATAGGTTCATGAAACCTATTTTCCCCTAGACATTGTGCTATTTTGAAGAATTACTTATATGCAGTAATTTTTTTAAATAAAATTTTTACACTAGTTTACAAAGTTTGTATACGTTGTTTTTCACATTGGATCTTTCCAATTTCCTTTACTCACTCACTCCCTCTACCCATCAAATTGTGTGACCCTATAATGAATGTCCCTCACCCATCCACTCCCACACTCCTTCCCTTGGATTCTCACACATGTTCTACAATAATGGTCTTATACAGTATTTGTCTTTATGGGACTGAGTTAGTTCACTTAGCAATATGCAGTCTTTTTTTATTTTTTAGTCATTTTTAAGAAACAAGCTCCAAGAGCATATTGGGAGCTGTATTGTAGGGTAAATTGTTATACTGAAAACATTATTTGGGATGCACTTGCACTACAATGTCAACAAGATGCAACAAGCATCTTTGGAAGTTCTCTCCAGACTATTTTTTATTCTCTAGTTGAAATGTTATCCCAATTGACATTATTATATTCATTTAAATTAACTTCAATAGTAAATTTCCATTAATGGCTTAATTTTTTTCTTAGTATAATCTCTATACTCCCTACCAGGATAAGAATCATCTATTGGGTTGAGAGCAACAAATGCATTAAGAGAGATTTTCTGCAATGAAAGTATAAAGTGAATGTTAAAGAGAAGAGCAAAGCAAAGAGAAAAACTTTCAGGAAAATAGCCTCCGTCCTCTGACTCATGCCTGATTACTCATTACTATGAGTTTGAGTTTCACGTACACATAAGTGAATCAGAAGACTGCTCACACAAAGCTGTTGAACAGATGAATCACTAACCTTTACCCCAGCTTCAGGCTACAAAATACCTTTGCCACCAAGCCTCGTGGTATATTGTAAATGGAAATTATTCTCATTTTTATCATTGGCTGAACACAATCAGGGAGGGATTATAGGAAACGTATGTAATTGGTTACTTTATCCATCATAATCATAAATGCAGCAACAATAAGATGCTAGAACTTGTATAAGAAATCCTGAGTAAGAACAGAAGGCTTCAATGGCTCTAGTTCTGGTCCTCGTTCTCTGTGTCTCCTGCTTGTTTCTGTTTTCACTCTGGAAGCAGAATAATGGGAAAGGGAAGCTCCCACCTGGCCCCACTCCTCTCCCACTTATTGGAAATAGTCTGCAGTTGAATTTTAAGAATATCAGCAAATCTCTAAATGATGTAAGTATCTCTTATGCTCCTTCCATGGCATGCAGGGATAAGTAAGGAAATTCCAATTTGAAAATAAAATTCAGTGAAAAATATCAATGTATATCTTTGCAAAACAAAATACTTTCTGTGGATTTTGCTATTTCTGTTGCTTTTTAAAAATAATCTGAAACTATCAGAAATAGAGGAATAAAGTCATATGTGTATGGAAAACATAAATGTTAAATTTATTGTAAGACAGCAATAAATAATGATTAAGAGGATGGAGGTGTACCATAAAGTAGGGAAGACAGCTGCCTTTTGTTATTTCACCATAATTTACCATGATATTTTGAATGAAGGTAGAGTTGCTTAGAGATTAGGTAGTTTATTCATTTCAACTATATGAATGTTTTGTTCAGATTACCAAGAAAATTATATTTACCCATGGATGTAGGTTGTGCATGATGTCAAGAGAACAGTGAATGAGATACAGTTATCAGGGAGGTCCTGGTGATGAAAGTATCTAATCTCAGTACAGACTGTCATTTATGGCTTGGGAATGGTGCAGAATGTAATAGTATCTCCATGAGATGCTGTCTGTTCTCTATTTGTATTAACAAATGCCCATACACCTCAACTTGATGCAGACTTGGAATCATGTGGGGTGATTTTTAAAATCAATTCAAATGGGAAAAAAATCAATTCAAATTATATTCAATCTGCATGGTTGTTAAGTGTCATCGAGTCATAGACAACTCACCGTGACCCTATGAACAAACGACCTGAACACTTATATAGCTTTTATCATTTTTCTATGTTTGTAGAGTTTTCAGAGGCAAACTATTTTGGAAGTGGATTTCACTCCTGCTTCTAAGCCTGTTCTAATCTGGGAGCTCTACCAAACACTGTCCACCATTGATAACCATTATCTCATTTGACACATCAGTGTCACAGTGTTTAGCATCACAGCAACCACGAGTTACCTCTGTACAGCAAACTGACAGACAGACCAGTGCTATACCACTTAGAAGAATGTTTGACCCCAAACAATTAAAACCAGGCCTGAGGGCTGCAGATTAAAATCACTCACCTTTGGTTGAGTAGCATAACTTTTCATCCACTAGGCCAACACAACTGTCGCTATGACTCACAGAAATTCTTTGAACAACAGATCTAACTCTTGCCCTATCCTAACGCCATCCCCACAATCCAAGTCACGCTTGAGCCCATTGCTACAATCACCATATCGATCCATTGTGTTGAGGATCTTTTCTTCTGCATAGGAAGAGCTTTAAAAGTGATTTCCAATTGGTCTGCAGGACCTTGATACAAAAATGGGAACCAAAGGCTAATAAATTGTTCAGGTGTCAGAAATTCTTTCAGAGGTGGCTCAAATTTGAACTTTTGCATGTGTGGGACACTGGAAACTAAATTTCAATTTTGAAAATCTCAGTCCTTTCTCTGTAAAACCAGGATAAATAGACAGCCTTTTTAAAGGGCTGAGATGATGACTAGTGTAATAGATCCAAGTGCTTACTACAGTGAAGTTCATCCTTAAATGGCAGCCTTATTAATCTCCATCAAAAGTACTTATGAAAATAATAAATATTTGAAGCTTTGCAAATAAAATAAAATACCAACAATGTCATAATAATAATATCCATGTGAATCATGTACAATAAGAAAGAGTGGCTTTTCTTTTCACTTTTTGTGTTTGTTTTATTGTGTACCACTGAATCTGATCTGACTGACACAGGACTAGATTGTACCTCCTTCTCCAGTGAAGTCTCTGGTGGATTTGAATAGTGACCTTTTTCGCTAAGATTTGCATCTCCTTTTCCCAGATATCAAAAGTCTATGGTCCGGTGTTCACACTTTATTTTGGCATGACGCCCACAGTGGTGTTGCATGGATATGAAGCACTAAAGGAAGCTTTGATTGATCATGGAGAAGAGTTTGCTGGCAGAGGCTGTTTCCCACTGGGTGAAAAAACCAATAAAGGACATGGTAAGTGGGCGTGTGCAAGCCTTTGGCAGTAAGGAATGCTCAATAGAAATTGAACAGCCACCTGCTCAGGCAGAACCAGGCACATCCCCGTAGTTGGTAAGGTCAGCGTCCTCCTCTTTGCTAAAAATCTCCCTTCTCTTCTGCTATTGCTCTTGGTAGGAATCCTTTTTAGCAACGGAAAGACATGGAAGGAAATGCGGCACTTCTCACTCACAACTCTGCGGAATTTCGGCATGGGGAAGAAGAGCATGGAGGAGTGTATCCAGCAGGAAGCCCACACTCTGGTGGAGGAGCTCAGAAAAACCAATGGTGAGAGATTCTTCTCTATCTATGACCTTAACAGGTTGCTATTTTCTCTGGTGGCGTCCTTGAAAACAAACGCTTCACAGACTCCCAAGTCTTCCTTTGTGGGCAAATCCCATCAACAAGCAGGTGGAGGAGACAGGCTGTAAAGCAGAGAACAAGGAAATATTTTTGTACCTATGATAGGGTGGTATAATAAGTTCAGAATTCTCTATATGTATCAGTTATAAAACTATAGTTATATATTTATAAAACTAACATCAGCCTGTAAAACTAGCTACTTAGCCTTAAAATTCTCTGTTTCCTGGTTTTAGTCATGTAAAGAAGTTTGATCTGTTTACCAGAAGAGGAAATGCATCTCTCCTAGGTCTCTCTGAGGCTGTTTCCCAGTCATATGTAAATTGTATCTTAATCTGCCTGTTTACCAGGATGGGGACTGTACCCTTCCTGAATTACTAGTACTTAAATATGAACTGTTCTTTTCAGATGTAGAAATTATTTTTTTACTAACAAAAGTGCATTGTTAAGTGAGTCTCAGCCTGGTATAAAAGCCCATGACCACTCCCAGACAGGGAGTCAGTCTTTGAGGCCAAGGGCTATCAGCTGTTGAACTTTTCTATTACAATTAAAGGCTCAAGTTCCTTTTTACTAATTTTAAGTAACACGAAACATTGTTGAACAACTGTTTGTAAACATAAAAAAAAAAAGAAAGATAATTAAGGAGAGGTGAGTATTTTTCTCCTTGAGAGGTTCAGTCCAGTGGAAGTGGCTGGTTGCACTTTGCTTCCTTAGCTGGCAGTCCTTTCTCTGGAAGAAGGCTCAGGGTCTGGAACAAACCTCAGTATTCAGGTTACCTGTACAAAAGGAAGCAAACCTAGAGAGAATGAACTTGTGAGTTACAAAGAAAAAGGATTTATTTAAAATATATATATATATATATATTTCAAAGGTGTCACTTACTGGTATACTAGAGGAGATAGAGGAAAGTGGCTTAAAGTTTTTCACACACAATTTTATGTGTTTAATTTAAGCCTACTTCTGGTGCTACTTTATTCAGAGGAAGGCCAAAGCAACCCCTGATTATAGTAGAGATGGGTTTCCTGACAGGGCTCAGTCATCGACTTCATTCCTATTGTCACTCTCAAGGCTTTCAGAAATCAAACTTGATCTTTATTTCTTCTGATTATTCCTTGTGGTCTTGCCAAGCATGACTAGTCTTTCATTGAAGTATTCCAGGGTCCGAGTTTCAGGAAGAACTAGTTTTTTGGTCTTTCTGAGACCTTGCACATCCACTGTTGCCTGGGGTCTTTGCTGTGTGCTTTAGGAAAGCAACGTGATGACAGAAGTCACTGACAAACTAGATTGAACTTCCTCCCACTCTGGCCCTTTTGGTCCTCTTCAGATAAATCAGCAAGTTGTCATCCTTCCAACTGGAAGGCAGTTCTTTTAAAGAGGGCCTTCCCCAAGACTTTGAATAGGTCTTCTTCTAATGTCCTGATTTTTGTAATAAATATCCCCCCTTGTCTCTATCTGGTCTCCTTTTTCCTCTTGGAGGTTTTTCTTGGGGTCCGATCATCTTACCTTCAGTGGTATTCCCAAACACAGCATTGTCTGGCATTCTCGGTTGTTGAATACCTCGGGTGTGATGTCGACCATGCTGAGTTGAGTTTGTGCCAATGGCGCACTCCATCTTTTGTAGTCTCCTCCTAATGTCAGGGATGCTCTGGGAAACAAAAGTCAGGTTAATCATCCAGACTCTAGCAGAGTTTTCTGAACCAAGATCTGTGTACTTACAGAAAGCTTGATGCAGCCTTTCAAAACCAGGAAAGGATTTCCATTTGGTTGCTGCAGAATGGCTCCGGTCATTTTCAGGCTTAGAGCTTCCTTTCTTCTTCTTGGCCTTGGAGACTATACTTTTTATGTTCCCTCTGCCATAGGCTTCTGCCATCTGGATACGAATTAGGTTTAGTGAAGCAATTGTTTTCAAATAATCTCCATGAAGGCAAGCTGCTACTATTCATCTCTTCTCTTCACCAGCCAGAAGCTGGATTAAAACAATTCCATCTGCTCACTTAGCAAAGAAAATAGTTATTATTAAATCTGTGATTTTAATAATCACCTTAATAGGAAGAGTTTGAATTTTTTATTTTTCTCACTTTGACTGATCTGAGGCAGAGAAAAGAGAAGTTCTTCATAAGATCTTTGGGTTGTCCATATAGATTTTAGAATCTCTGGATAACTATCTGAAAGGGTATTGTCTGGCCTTGTTCTGAGTAGCCCTGGCTGAAAGGATATGATGTGAAAAAAATAAAATTATCTAAGCCTCTTTTCCTCAGTTTGCCTGGTGAGTGACACTTACTTTAGGTTTTTACCTAAAGTGACACTATTAAGTGTCACTGGCCTATGAAAAAAAACACTGGCTTGATTTGGGCACTATCTGAAAATTTATACCTTCTTTCATTTTGCCCTCATTGAGCAAGTGCCCATTATATTCTCATTTTTATGTTATAGAATATTAAAGGCCAATGAATCCAGATCTTACTCAATTTCTTTGATCTCTGGTGAAATAATGTTACTTCTTTTTCTTTTTGCCATAACTTAAATAACATAAAAATGCTAAATTTTTACTGAAATAAAATAAATATTCTTTTGGCTAAGGATAATATTAGCAAGCAGGCCAATCATACAGAATTCTTTTCTAATAGACTTTTTAACAGAATGGAAACTTTGGTTCTTTTGAGCAACAATTTAAAATGAAATGAACAGTGTTAATAGATGTGCAATCCTTAGATGTGATACAGGTACACAATCAACAGATACAATAACAATACAGCTTTTGATCAGATACAGCACAAGTTTTACTCATTAAATGTAACTTCTACTCATCAGATACAACACAAATTTTTACTCATCAGATACAGCACAAGTTTTATTCATTAAATACTCTGCAACTTCTACTCATGCAGTCAGATCTGAAACAAGCAGGCATCAATCAAAGTGCTAAAAAGAATGAAGAACGGAGAGCTTCTGCTTCCAATCCTACAAAACAAAGAATGGAGAGCTTCTGCTTCCATTCCTACAAGTTCCTGTCTAAAGTACAGAAACCAACACATGCACAACTGTGCAACAGATGAAGATTTGGAGTGGGAGATTCATGTCAACCCACTCACCCAGATTGGAGTGGGCAGATCACACTAACCCACTCACTCAGACTGGAATGGGCGGCTCACGCTAACCTACTCACTCAGATGGGAATGGGAGTCTCACACCAACCCACTCCCAAGTGGCCGGCTGTGCATTCCCCAGGGCTGGCTAAAACAGACGGAAGTTTTTACTAAGTGTGCAGTTACCAGATAAAGTGCATAAAATCACAAAGGCTATAGAAGATGACAAGAGTTGATCTCTCAAAGGTCTCTTGAGACAAAAGGTCTTGGTGGCATCTTTGGACATTTGAGATACCTACTCATGGGGTCCTCCTACCCCACGAGATTAAGATTCCCTCAGCAAGCAAAAACAAAAAGTTGTTTTTACTTACCAAGTGAGCCTGAAGTTCCCTTCGTTGTTGCCAAAGTGTTACTGAACGCAAGGGGTTCTTTCCATAGTCAATTGCCAATAAGACAAATGGATTGCAATATTCGTAAGCTCATTATTACACAGATCTGGGAGACAGCAAGTCTCCTCCAAGACTGCCTCCTTGTCTGGGAGTGGTCATGGGCTTTTATAGGAGGGTGAGACTCAATTAACAATGCACTTTGTTAGTAAAAAAAATACTTTCTACCTCTAAAAATAACAGTTCATATTTAAGTACTAGTAATTCAGGAAGTGCACAGTCCCCTTCCTGGTAAACAGGCTGATTAAGGTACAATTTACATATGACTGGGAAACAGCCTCAGAGTGATCTAGGAGAGATGCATTTCCTCTTCTGGTAAACAGACATATCAAACTACTTTAGATGACTGAAGAAAGGAAACTAAGAATTTGGAGGCTAAGTAACTAGTTTTGCAGGCTGAAGAAAAATATAGTTTTATAACCGATACATATATAAAGAATTCTGAACTTATTAACACCACCCTATCACTAATAGGATTTTTTTAAATATTATTAATTTCAATGAACATCTACAGAGATTTTGGAATTTCATTCATTCATTGTTACACTTTTCTCCCCGCCCACCCCACCCCCACCCCCAGTTGGCTCCTCTCCTTGAAAAGCAAAAGAAAAACTCCTTCATTGGTACACAATTTTCCCCCCACCCCCGCACACCCTCACCCTAAGGATCTTTAAATTAAAATATTTGCGGTAAATATTTACTTACAGGTAGCATTTGTACTAGTTTGTAAAAATCCTTATAACATTGACTCTGATTTTCAACTTGGATTCTAAGTTACCATGGGTTTTAATTTCATTCAGATACAAAGAGTAAAATATTGAAAATCAGTCTGTTGTTATAAATTATATATTAAAAAAAATCGCAAAGACATCCAAAATATTCTCAACCACCTACCTGAAATACTGTTTTTCCTGAAAATTGTGAGCCCGGGAGTGTTTCTGGTTTTACCTCTTAATTCTACCTGGCAGAACAGTAGTTAACAAATATCCTACCATTTCTTCACTCCAGTGTTAAATAATCTTCAATTATATCTAGAATTATGAATATGTGGATGTTTTAGGTATAAGGTTTATCAGTCACATTTAATAGAGCCTCCACAAAAAGAAAACAATACTTCTTTGTTTCTCTTCCTTTATCTTTAAAATTAGGGAATTGCTATAAGTCATAGTCAAATTTTAAATTTGTATCATACATGAGTCCCAGGCCAACCCAGTGGTGATCAATAACAAAATATTCTTGGTATTTACTGATTGATGCCTCAAACTTCACAGAAACAGGTTTATATTGTGTTTTGTTTTGCTAGATAAAGCAACAGACTAAGAGTTTCCAAAAAGGCAGACTTAGCCTAAATAAATTAAATTTAGAGGCTGTTTCAAAGGTTATCTACAACTTCCTCAGGCAGGTAATTATTTTTTCCCTAATAATAAGTTAATACTTTTAAAATGTTCCTTATCAAGTTTAACCTTTTCTTCATTTCCCCAAACTCAAAAGTTTGAGATAAAAATGTTTTCTTTTAAAAAAAAGTTTTCCTTTTTTAAAAAAAATTATTATTATTTAATATTGGTTTCCTTACAAAATTCATATACATTATGTTTTGTTTATATACATTGTGTTTCACACATTTGACCGTTCACATACTGTGCTCCATATGATCATTCCCATACATTGTGTTTTATATAATTAATCACCATTGATCCATGCCCATCTTTATCTTTATTGCTTTCTCAAGTCTCCACTGGATTTGTGCAAGCAAATCTTTTATTCTTTTTTTTATCTGTGTTTTGACTTTTACATGATGGTGTGGTATTAATAAAATCAGATCTCTAAATATTGGTTATAAAACTATAGTTATAGTTGTAAAACTGACATCCATTTTCTCCAGCCTGCAGAACTAGTTATTTTGCGTTAGGAGTCTTTGTTTTTTTCTGTTTAGTGATATAAAGTAAATTTAAGGAAACACATCTCCTCTAGATCAGAGTTTACCTCTTTAAAACTGTTTTTCTAGCCATATGAAATTATATCTTAATCTGCCTGTTTGCTGGGGGTGCGGGGATGTGCTTTGTCTATTCATAGTGACCTTATGAACCACACATCAGGCCTTGTACCATCATTGCAATCCGCATCTCATTGTTAAAGTCACTGTCAATTTATCTTATTAAAGGGTATTCTCTCTCTCTTACTCTTCAACATTCCCAGATAGATGTCTTTTTTTTCCCAGGGACTGGCCACTTTCTGATAACAAGCACAAAGTATGAAAGACGTCATTTCACCATCCTTAGCTCTAAGGATATGTTTGCCTAAAACAGTTATGTTCTTGTAGTAGTCCATGAGGTATTGTTGTTGTTATGTGCCGTCGAGTCGAGTCGTTTGCGACTCATAACGACCCTATGTACAACAGCCCTAAACCGTGCTCTATCCTGTGCCAATCACATTGACTCTGACACACCCATCTCGATTACCCCAGTCACTGAATCAATCCACCTCATAGAGGGTCTTCCCCTCCTGCACTGTCCCTCCACCCTCCCAAGCATGATGTCCCTCTCCAAAAACCTGTCTCTCCTTACATGTCCAAAGTATGTCAGACGATTCTCCAATACCACAATTCAAAGGAACACATTCTTTAGTCTTCTTATACACTGTCCAACTTTCAGATGGAATTAAAAATAGCATGACTTGGATCAGGTCTAAGTTTGTAATCTGATATCCTTACTCTTTATCACTTTGAAGAGGTCTTTTCCCAATGCAACATGTATTTTGATCTCCTGACAGCTGCTACCACGGATTTTGATTGTGGATCCAAGTAAAATGATTTGTTGACAACTTCCATCTTTTCCCTAACCATCATGATAATGTCTGTTGGCCTAGAGGTGAGAACTTTTAGTGTTGAGATGTATGATCTTCAGTAAGTGCTTCACCTCTTGTCCATTTTCCACAAGCAAAGTTGTATCATCTGCATAATGCAGGTTGTTGATGAGTTTTCCTTCAATCCTTGATGCCATATTCTTCAACGTACAACTCACCTCAGATTATTTTCTCTTCATACAGATTAAATAGATATGGAGAAAGGATTCAGTTCTCATGCACATCTTTCCTGATTTTGATACTCTATGTACCATAGCCTCAAAACTCACCACTGGGGTGGTAGGCAACAACATTAATAGTTGGAGAAAAGAGAGTGGGCATCATTGTAAGCCTTGAGAGTAAGTGTAAATTGTTCTAATGGGTATTTCACTCACTTAGTGTCAATTATCCCTTCTTTTTCTCCAGTTCTTCTGATTTGTAATGGAAATGTCTGCCTTATAACGACTCCCCCCATTGTACGGTAGAAGTAGATAATTTGTAATTCTAGATTTATAAATGAAGAGGAATTATTGCCTCAAAAGGGAATCTGAATGTGAAGTTTTTTTAAGACATTTGCATGAGACGATGAAATGTTTTGCATGTGGCAAGTACACACATTTGGAGGGAAGAGAGTTAAATGGAAGCCTATCATGGATAGAATAGTGCCTCCACAAAGTATGTGTCTGTTCAGCTGTGTCTTGATTCTCAGTGACAATGGTGTAATTTGGCAGTCATAATCATCTCAGTTATAAAGTATTTAAGGTGGGAAGCAACACCCTTACTCAGGTCACATTCCTAATCCAAAGTGAAGGCAGTTTCCCTGGGGTATGGCCTGTATCACCTTTTCTCTTGCAACAGATAAATGTAAGCAAATGAGTAGGATCATATATTATCAATTTTAGGAGCTTTATTTGGTGCATTTAATGCAACTGTTAATTGCAAAATCCACTTACCCTGCGTAAGTGATAAATATAGACTGCTGTCCTGTTGACCCTTTGAAATTCTGCACTTGAGATTTAGTGTCTACTGTTACTTCTTTTTTTCCTCCTCCTAATTTATTTACAAAATTCTAATACAAATTCAAACAAATTCTTTCCATTTCCCTCACCCACCAACCCATCTGTACAACCTGTTGATTAATCTCCCTCTCTCCCTGCACATCCACATCCCTCTGCTTCCAACTGTTACTTCTCGCAAGATGTTCTGCCTTAGCACTCAGCTGCATTCTTTTCTTTCATGTTCATTATGCTTTGATTCTGAGGACCATACAAGGGTAGACTATATTACCTTTTTAAAAATTACAAAAGTTTATATGGGCAAATAATTTCCTTAAGTTGATGGTCAAATACTAAAATGTTATTTTTCACATGATTTATAATCTTGTCACAGTCCACTTAACAAAATTAGGTTAGATTTCAGTGAAAATTATCTTCTTAAGTGTTTTATTTTATCCTGGAGTGGGGGAAATAACTTTACTACAATTGGTATATATGGTGCAGAATTTCCTAGAAATGAGGTGTGCCAGCAATGGAAAAATTTAAACTTCCTTAAACAAAAACAAAACAAAGGACAAATACACAAATTAGCAGATGCATAGAGCACTGCAGTTTCTAGGACCCAGTTTCTTTTACTGGTTTCAAAAACAACAAAAATAAAATTAAAAACTTTGCCTGAGAAAAACAAAAGTGAACAAATGAAGACAATATTGATTATGACCAAGAAAGGAAAGCCAGGAGTATAGCACATTTGTTGGAACCAGAGTCCCTGCACTAAGAACCTCTTAGACTCAGAAGAATGAATGATCCCAGAATACATGGAGGGCTCCAAAGCATGCCAAGTCCACAGGTGTTCAAAGAATACAAGGTCGTCTTTCCCTAGAGCTGACAGACAGGAAGTCTTTTTCTTGAGCTTTCACTCTGAATTTGGACTTCCAGCCTCTTAAACTCTGACAACTTTTGGTGATTAAAGTCTCCATTTGCAGTATTTCTGTTCTAGCAACAATAGATAAGTAAAATTTGCTATCTGAAATGAGTTTTATATGTGTATTTTGATAGTGTTTTTTAATGTTTCCAATTCTTTAGGCTCACCCTGTGATCCCATCTTCATCCTGACCTGTGCTCCCTTCAATGTAATCTGCTCCATCATTTTCCACCACCATTTTGATTATACGGACAAAGATTTTCTTATCTTAATAGAAAGATTAAATGAAAACATGCATATTCTGGGCTCTCCTTGGATCCAGGTGAGGCCAAGATTCTTCCTTCCCAAGCAGTCATTTATGTGTCATTCTCTGGCACATAAAAAATTCTTTATGAACCAAACTATAAGATTTTAACAATAAAGTTTTCCTTTGAATCTATTATAGATTGAATTCTGTCCCCTTAAACTATGTTTATCATGCCATTTGAGAATCCGTTTTCTTCTTCATGATCAATAGAGAGTATTAGTATAGAAGGTGTTTGGATTTTTTTTTCTTTATGCATTGTGATAATGTGTGTGTAATTCTAGGTTTATTGTTCAAATTATACATTTATTTATTGTTTGGCTAAAAATTCTGCCATAAAGATGAGTTCCTTTCCAAACTCAAAGAGTATCTAAGAGTCAGAGACTGAGTAGTTCCACTAGTCTCCATCAAGCCAGAAAACTTGGCTATTTTAATGTTGAGTTTTGTTTTACATTAGGACCCTTTCTTGTGACACTTTTTATAGAGGCCAGTAGTGGAACAAAACAGAGTAGTACTTTGGTCTCATGGTGATGGAAGATGAGATTATCAAGGATGGTCAGTGCTATGTAGACTAATACGAAAGTGTGTTTAAGTCAAACTCCTAATATTAAAAGAGATTAAACAAGCAAATAATCATGCAGAGACAGAGGAAGAGAGACACAAAGGAATTTAATGGTCTGGGGCAAAAGTTCATAGAGATCAGGTCCTTCCTCTAGAGACAACAGAGAAAGAAAGCCTTACCTAGGACTCACCCTGAAAAGACTTCGAGCCTCCTGATGTGTTATAAAAATAAATAAATAAATAAAAACCTCTATTTTTAGCGTCACCTGGTTGTGGGATTTATAACAACTTTATTCAATAGATCATGAAGTAAATATAAATGAAAGGTGAGTATAGGCGAAAAACAATCCAGAAGATAGAACTGTCTTCAAGAACATGGACTTCTTGTGTAGTCTGATTTGCTGATTTGATAATTGCATAAAAGCTTGCACATATCACCAGGTAGAGACACAAAGTCATTGTTGAAAGGATCTCATTTCCTACAAGTCATGTTTTTCCTTCAGTGCTTGGTGAGCTCCTCATCAACTTACATGGTAGAAATATTATAACTTAGAATATAAAATAAAGAGGATGTCTGGAACCACACATGCCACTTGGTACTTCTGACTAACGTAGTTTGGATTCTACCTAATAAGGTAACTCAGTTAAAAATGAGAAAATGTCACAATTTTGTTTGTCAATGAGAAACATCCCTTTAAGAATGAGGAGACATCACAGTTCTGCCTTGTGCTGAGTTACCATCTCCTACACTCTGCTTAAATAATAATTACATGATCTTAAAGAAGTCATTTATTTGGGTTTACATTAAAGAAATGTAAACTTTTACATTAATGAATTCTAACTTACATGAAATGTTAAGTAAGATGCCATAGTAATTTCAAGCTCCCTTCATCTACTTCTGAGTTTGCATGAAAAACATAGTCCAGATCAGATTATCCAACTGCTTTAACTAATGTTCTTAGCAGCAAAACATGAATCATACTTACTTATGACAACTTCTCTTTCACAGTGTGAGGGGAAAATTTCTGTAAAAAAATTAAAGGATTAATATAAAGATAATTTGGTATTATAGAAAACATATGTGTATATAGGAAATTATTAATAACTTTAATTCTGTTTAGAATGTCATCCCACAAATATTTCTATAATCATAGGAAATTAATTCGTATGCATAGTAAATAGCTTCTCTTTAAATTAGAGAATATAATTCATTATTTATATTTATAGGTAGAATTTCTAAACAGGCATATGACATATATATATTCATCTTTTTTTTTTTATTTACTAAAGACTTTACTCTCTTTTAGGTCTGCAACACTTTCCCCATACTTATGGACTGCTTGCCAGGGAGTCACAATAAATTTATTGACAATATTCTTTACTTCGATTATTATTTTGGGAAGAAAATAAAAGAACACCAAGAAACCCTAGACATTAACAATCCACGGGACTTCATTGATTGCTTCCTGATCAAAATGGAGCAGGTAAAATGTTAATTACCCTTAAGTGTCTTGGGGTTTCTTTATTCAATAGACATAACTATGGTAGTATAAGAATACAGTACATTGCATTGCTAATCAAAAGATTTGTGTTTCAAATCCACAAGCTGCTCTATGAGAGAAAGATGGACAATCTCTTCCTATAATGATTTACAATCTCAGTCACTTTGATTTACAACCAACATAAAGGCAGTAGGTGTTAGTAAGTTCTTGATGTTGTTGTTGTTATGTGCTATTGAGTTGCCATATAACGACCCTATATACAACAGCCCTAACCCCTGTTCTATCCTGTGTCAATCTTATTGTCTCTGACATACCTACCCCAATTACCTCATACACTGAATCAGTCCATCTCATCGAGGGTCTTCCTCTTCTGCACTGTCCCTCCACCCTCCCAAGCATGATATCACTCTGCAAGGACTGATCCCACCATGCAACATGTCCAAACTATCTCAGATGAAGCTTCACAATCCTTGCCTGGCTTCACTTTTCCAACACGAACTTGTTTGTTCTCCGAGCAGTCCATGGTATATTCAATACTCTTCTCCAGCACCACAGCTCAAAGGTATTGATTCACCTTCTATCATCCCTAGTCATTGTCCAGCTTTCTGATGCATAGTAAATAATTTAAAAAACTATGGCTAGTATGAGGTGCACTTTAGTCTCCAGGCTGACATCATTGCTCTTCAGTACTTTGGACTGTGTAGATCACAACAAACTGGCTGTCTCTGAGAGGAGAATCCCAGAACACTTGATTGTGCTAATACCTATACTTGGACCAGGAGGTAGTCATCAGAAAAGAGAAAGGAAACGCTTTATGGTTCAAAATTGGGAAGAATGTGAGCCAAGAATGTGTCCTATCTCCATATCTTTTAAATCTATATATGGAACAGATTATCCAGGAGGCTGGGCTCTATGAGGAGAAGTGTGGCATCAGAATTGGAGGTAGATTCATCGACAGTCTGCGTATGTAGATGACAACCCTGCTTGCTGAGACTGAGGAGAACCTGAAGCACTTGCTGCAGAAGGTCAAGGACTGCAGCCTTCAATATAAATTGAAGGTAATCATCAAGAATAAGATTCTCACCACTGGGCCAATTAGCAGCATCATGATAGGTGGTGAAAAGACTGAGATTATTAACAGCTTCAGTTTGCTTGACTCTACAGTCAACTTTCTTGGTACCAACAGCCAGGAAATTAAAAGATTAATTGCATTGGGTTCTTGATAGCTATTTTTCAATTATTCTTGCTATTTTACAGTCAAGTTGCTACCAGCTCATAGCTGAACCTCCAATAGGTTTACAGAAGTAGCAAATCGTAGGGAGGAGATTGCCCATCTTACTTGCACAGAGCAGCTAATGGATTCAAACCGCATGCCTTTGAGTTGACACTGCAACCACTTACCCCTAAGTCACCAGAGTTCCCTTTTAAATTATGTGGAAAAAAATAAAAAAATAAATGATTAGACAAGTGATTTTAGGATCCTATCATTCTAACATAAAGTGACAATGAGTTGGAGTCAACTCTATAGAACCAAATACAAAACAAAACAAAACAGTTTACCAAGTTATCATGTGTATGGTCTACATTATTAAACAACACTGAAAATGTAATGGCTTAAATATGCAAAAAGAATAACTCTAAAGAGAAATCACTTATCACTTCAAATGGAAAGAATTAGAAACAAGCAAGAAAATAGAAAATATTAGGCCAGCAAATGAAGATGAAAATTATTATTGCACATGTTGTTATTGGTGTTGTTAAGGGTCGTCAAGTCATAGACAACACATAGCAACCCTATGAATGAAAGACCTGACCACCTGTATAACTTTCATCATTACTCTAAGTTATAGAGTTTCGAAGGCAAGCTGTTTCAGAAGTGGATGCCACTCCTGCTTCTAAGCCTATTTTAATCTGGGAGCTCCACCAAACACTGTACACCATGGGTAACCATTATCACACTTGACACCTCAGTGTCACAGTGTTTAGCATCGTAGCAACCACAACTCAGAACAACAAATTGACAGACCAGTGCTATACTACTTAGAAGAATGTTTGAGCCAAAACAAAACCAGGCCTGAGGGCCGCAGATTAAAATCACCCATCTTTGGCTTGGTAGCATAACTTTCTATCCTCTAGGCCAGTAGAGGTCTCTCTATGACTCACACCAATTCTATGAACAACAGATCTAACCCTTGCCCTATGCTCCGACATCCTCACACTCTGAGACATGCTCAAGCACATTGCTACAGTCACCTTATCAATCCAGCCTGTAGACGATCTTTTCTTCTCTGACCTTCCACTTCTCTCAGCATGATGTCATTTGCCAAGGACTGGAACTTTAACTATTGTTAAGTGCCATTGAGTAGTAGATGACTCATAGTGACCCTATGAATCAGAGACATGAAAGTTGTATAACTTCATCCTTTATCTAAGTTCATAGAGTTTTCAGAGGCAAGCTATTTCAGAAGTGGATGCCACTCCTGCCTCCAAGCCTATTTAATCTGGGAGTTCCAGTAAACACTGTTCACCGTGGGTTGCCATTATCACATTTGACACATCAGTGTCACAGTGTTTAACACCACATTCACAGTGCATGGAAAAATGAATTTTTTTGCAAACGAGAATATTTGCGATGAAGGACAGGAGAGGGTGTTTTAAATGGGATGAATATTATATACAGAAGTTCAGTGGTGTATGGTTGTAAAGAGATTAGGTGAATGAAAGAAAAATTACTTAATCAAGTATAATAAAAATAATTTGGGCAGATAAGAAGGTGGATTTTTATCTCTACTAGGCAATCTGTATACATGAATATGGAACTTATATTTGGACCAGGAGGCAGTCGTCAGAAGAGAGCAAGGAAACACTGCATGGTTCAAAATTGGGAAGTGTGTGCACCAAGGATGTGTCATATCTCCGTATCTTTTCAATCTATAAGCAAAACAGATTATCCAGGAGGCTGGGCTCTATGAAGAGAAGTGTGGAATCAGGATTGGAGGTAGACTTGTCAACAATTTTCATTATGCAGATTACACAACCCTGCTTGCTGTAACTGAGGAGGACCTGAAGTACTTGTTCAGAAGGTCAAGGACTGCAGGCTTTAATATGGATTGACGCTCAACATCAAGAAAACAAAGATTCTCACCACTGGGACAATTAGCAGCATCATGATAGAGGGTGAAGAAATTGAGATTGTTGGCAGCTTCTGTTTGCTTGGCTCTATAATCAACACTCTTGGTACCAGCAGTCAGGAAATTAAAAGGTGAATTGCATTGGGAAAGTCAGCTGTCAGAGACCTCTCCAGACTATTGAAGAGAAACAATGTCAATCTGGAGACTAGGGTTTGCCTGATACAGGCCATGGTCTTTGCAATTTCTTGCTACACCTCAGAGAGCTGGACAATAACTAGGGTTGATAAAAAGAGAGTTGATATCTTTGAACTTTGGTGATGGAGAAGAGTATTGAATATACCATCAACTGGTAGGAGAACAAACAAGTTCGTCCTGGAGAGGATGAAGGCAGGCTGCTCCTTGGAGACAAGGATCTGAATCTCCATCTGACATAACTTTGGACATGTTGCAAGGTGGGATCAGTCCTTGGAGAGGGACATCATGCTTGGTAGGGTAGAGGGACAGTACAGGAGAGGAAGATCCTCAATGAGATGGATTGATTCCATCACTCTGGTAACGGGGATAGGTGTGTCGGAGATGATAAGATTGGCACAGGATAGAGCAGGGTTTAGGGGTGTTGTACAGAGGGTCACTGTGAGTCTCAGGTGACTCAATGGCACATAACAACAATATCTCCCATGCCATACAGGGGTCTGTCCTTTTCAAAGAACTCTCTAAATTCCAAGTTGGCTAAATTTGATAATAATATGAATTATTTTTAATTCATTATAATTAAATATGCTAGAACATTAATGTGTCAAACTATTGGTTAATATTCCTAGGAAAAGCACAATAAACAAACTGAATTTACCATTGAAAACTTGATAGTGATGATAAGCGACATATTTGGAGCTGGAACAGAGACAACAAGTACCACCCTGAGATACGGACTCTTGATCCTGATGAAGCACCCTGAGGTCACAGGTATGAGCACAGATGGTGGGCAGGGTGAGATTCAGAAGATGATTGACAATAAAATGCTGGTGTTTCCCATCTTGTTTCTCTAGAAAAATTTCATTATATAAATTTCTGTGACTCCAAGTATTATTTGTCCAAGTCTGGGATGAAGGGGTAAAATGACATGGGTTTTTACTGTAAATGAAGGTGGCTGAGGGAAGGGAAGGACTGTGTGAGTATAAGGTAATGTGATAAAGCTGTGGTGTGGTGTAGTGTGGTGTGGTGTGTGTGGTATGATGTTGGGATTCTGTGGGAGAGAATCACACCAGGGAAACATCAGGAAGGCTAGTGGACATTAGCTCTAGTGAACAACCAGTTCAAAATGGACAGGGCAGATTAAAAAAAAGTCATGGAAGACATCAAGAATAAAAGGGAACTAAAGGATTATCTTATCTAAGGCTTCTTAATAATTAAGAAATGTTAACTACGTGTTTGCAATATATACCTGAGCAATTGGAAATGATCTAGAACATTTGATATTTAAATAATTTTTAAGCCCAAAATGTATTCAAAACAAAGACAGTTCTCATCACTGAACAGTATTTATGTAATCAAAATAGTTATTGGTAAAACTAAAATTTATAGAATCATGGAAAGTATGTGTGTGCATATGGATATCTGTATGCAAATGTAATGATCATCAAGGATGTGATTAGATTACATCTTAACACCGGATAAACCAAGAAATAGAATCATTATCAACAAATGTGAACACAAATTTCAGAAAAAACTGCTGGGTTGATTTTAAATGACCATTTTAGAACAGCAGAGAAGACTGTACCCTCACAGCAAGTTTACACACAAACCTATACCTAAATATAGATAGGACGACAAAATCAGACATCCATTTTCAGCTCAACATGTAATACACTACAGCCCCAGGGCTTCCGTCATAGATGTTATAGTAGAATCTAATTTTTAAAGCAGCATTAATTCCTCTGATAAAAAATTAATATGACTTCCATCTTTCTTTGTGAATGAATAGTCACTTCGTGAGCTAATTATGTGCTGTTCATATTTTTAGTCATCTAATTAATTATCTTTGTATTAACTATGCTGAATATTAGTATATAGAAATGCATAGGTTTGTACTCATACCTAGTTTGTAGGAGAATTAGTGTATCAGTTTTATACCACTTCTTTCACACTGTTTAGATGACTTTCTGGTAATACAGGTTGTAGTTATGATAATGTTGGGACAAGTATATATACCTTGTACAACTGTTGTGGTGTTCTGGTAATATAGGTTTTGGTTATAACAATGTTGGGACAATGGCATATACCATGACAAACCACATATACCCTAAATCAGAATGCTACATACACCCTGAATTGTGACAGCAAAAAACCTCATGGCTGTCCAGTCAGAACTGACTCAAAGCTGACTGTCCAAGAGATTTTCAAGAGGCTGTAAATCACCCATCTTTCTCCCTCAGAGCCCAAGTTGGATTTGAACATTGGTCCTTTGCCTTAGCAGAGAGCTCTGAGGGTATGGTCTTAAGGAAGTTCCCTTGCTATATTGATTGTGGAGCTGCTCAGAGTCCTTTCCATTGTTGGTTTTGTTGTGAACTGTAAAGTCACCATATCTTTACTGTAAACCAACCCATAGCTGACCTTTTAGTAGGGTTTCAAAGACAACAAATCCCATTGAAGGAGATTGCCCATCTTTATCCTGCAGAACAGCTGGTAAATTCAAACTACATACCTTGGAGTTGACAGCACAATTTCTTACCATTAAGCCACAATTATTTACTTGTGTCTTACTAGCTAAAGTCCAAGAAGAGATTGACTGTGTGATTGGCAGACACAGAAGCCCCAGTATGCAGGACAGAGTCAACATGCCTTACATGGATGCTGTGGTACATGAGATCCAGAGATACAGTGACCTCACACCTACCAGTTTGCCCCATTCGGTGACTTGTGATGTCAGATTCAGAAACTACCTCCTCCCCAAGGTAA